AACTAGCTAAATCCCCACCTCATCCCAGAAGACAGTGGCCATCACCTTTCCTCTTGAAGGCTCAGATTTTGCTTTGACTGGACCACTTCTACCCCTGGGCAGCCACTGCTTTGATTGAATTTTGTCCTCGAGATCGTGTTGTTAGAGCCTTGTTTTATCCTGTCACAATTCTCTGCAGAAAAGCTTCAGGGTCCATATCTACAACCCTTGTTTACTGCTGATCTGGGCACAACAGCCTAGGGACCCATTGAGCGGAAAGCTTGCTAAGCCCCAAACTCTCTGCCGGAATTAGGTGTGCAAAACAGATGTTGATAGTGTCTGCTACTGATTCAGTAGTTATTTGTCTATCCTTTTCAGTCATGTTGCAAAAAGCATGATTGCTTTCCTTGCAAACTGACATTGATGGCCTGCCACTGCGGGGCTCATCTTTAATTTCGTTTTTTCCTCTTCTGAACTGACTTATCCATTTTTAGGCTGTTGATTTCTTTGGGGCATTTAGCGATTTGCCTATTCTCCCAGCTGAGTTTCACCATTAATTTAATGTTTGTCCTGGCCTTGATTTTGGTGTATTCCATGCTTGAATGGTGCCTGACTTCCAATTGATGGCAATGTGTTATTACCTGCACAAAATGGTTCATAATTTAACACATTATAACATGTTGGTACAAGAATGTTCAGGTGCACTGAAATTAAAATCCTTCCATATGATTTCTAGTTATGGACTTTTCCATAAACTCTTTGAAGCCCCCCTTGTATATATATATATTATATGATATATGTATATGTGCGTGCTTGCGTGTGTGTGTGTGTGTTTATATTTTATGTATGTGTGTGTGCGCAAGTGTGTTCATGCGCAATTTATGCAAGTATGGGTATCTAATATTGTGTGTGTGTGTATATATATATATATGCATATGTATGTATTTATGTGTATGTATATCTAAATGTATATGTATTTATATTATGTATATGTATGTACCTTTTACCTTTTTATTTGTTTATTTTATACTTAATATTAATTTTTTTTTTATCATACACTCTTTCCTGCTAGTTATGATGGATAGGAATAGGGTCCTAAGCACAGAAATAGCAATCTTCCAGCTATGGTTATTAGTTGGTACACTCGACACTCCGATGTCAATGAAAATAATGCTAGAACCATTTCCTAAATGGCCCCTAAATCTAATCACTTTCTAAGGGTTTTGCGTACTTGTGATGATCACGTTGTGCCAGGGGTTAAACCTAGATGGCAAAAATACACACACTCCCCATGGGGACCTAGGTTCAAGTCCTGGAAATTGAGTTAGCAATTCAAATCCTAAGTCTGATGTGCTGAGGTTTATTTATGAAACCCAGAATAGTGCAATACTGCATTGATACTAGTCCTCTGGTTCATACCTGGAGTGACCAAGGTTCGAGTCAATATCAGTGTGGTATTGCATTATTCCATCATTCATAAACATATCTCAGTACTTCTGAAAGAGTGTATGGATATAATTGAGGAGTGATGTTATTGTCTGTCAATAGATTGCATAAGAGAAATTAGTTATTTTTGGGTTTTTGCTTGTGCCAAGAGAGTTCATTGCCATTGACTACATGTTGGCCCATATAGACTGGCCTAGGTCCAAGAATATTTGTGATGTAAATACCGCTGGATTTTTGAGTCTACTCACATCCATGTTTAAAATTCCATTATATGCATTTAATAAGTGAAATTTTCATGTGTGTGTGTGTAATCTTTTATATTTGACAATGATGAAATGAAAATACACATGAAAGTCAGTCTCTCTCTCTCTCTCTCTCTCTCTCTCTCTCTCTCTCTCTCTCTCTCTCTCTCTCTCTCTCTCTCTCTCTCTCTCTCTCTCTCTCTCTCCTTCCCACCCTCTCCCTCTCTCCCTCCCTTCCTCTCCCTCTCTCTCCATCCCTACCTCTCTCCCTCTCCCTCCCTCCCTCCCTCTCCCTTCCTCTATCCCTCCCTCCCTCCCTCCCTCCCTCTACTCACATCCATGTTTAAAATTCCATTATATGCATTTAATAAGTGAAATTTTCATGTGTGTGTGTGTAATCTTTTATATTTGACAATGATGAAATGAAAATACACATGAAAGTCAGTCTCTCTCTCTCTCTCTCTCTCTCTCTCTCTCTCTCTCTCTCTCTCTCTCTCTCTCTCTCTCTCTCTCTCTCTCTCTCTCTCTCTCTCTCTCTCTCTCCCTCCCTCCCTCCCTCCCTCTCTCTCTCTCTCTCTCTCTCTCTCCCTCCCTCCCTCTCCCTCTCCCTCTCCCTCTCCATCTCCGTCTCTTACCCTCTCTTTCCCTCTCTCTCCTATCTTGGATATTTATTCCCCTCTATCACAGTACTTATATTGCTTGGTCTGTGAATAAGCATTTTGTATTTGGGGATTTTGATGTTCCTTCCCAGTAGCAAAGAGGATGTCATTTGTATCATTTCCTTCTTTTTTCAAGCCCCCCATTTACCAGAGGCTTTGTTTTCTCTCCCCCAGGTTCGATATCGGGAAAGGATAACCATTCTTCGTGGCAACCACGAGTCACGTCAGATCACCCAAGTTTATGGTTTCTACGATGAATGCTTGCGCAAATATGGAAATGCTAATGTATGGAAGTACTTTACGGATTTGTTTGACTACCTACCCTTGACAGCATTAGTCGACAGTCAAATATTCTGCCTACATGGTGGCCTATCACCATCCATAGACACACTTGATCACATTAGAGCACTTGACCGGCTGCAGGAAGTTCCACACGAGGTATGTGTTTTTTTTTTGTAGTTGTTGGCTGTTCTATATTAAAATGATGCATCTTTGACAAATACTTTCATGAAGTACAATGTTTTCTCTTATTAGGCCTAACATAAAAACTCTTAACGCAGGGTCCCATGTGTGATCTCCTCTGGTCTGATCCCGATGACCGTGGTGGCTGGGGCATTTCCCCACGAGGAGCTGGGTACACCTTTGGCCAGGATATATCCGAGACCTTCAACCACTCAAATGGTCTTACGTTGGTGTCACGAGCCCATCAGTTGGTTATGGAGGGCTATAACTGGTGCCATGATCGCAATGTTGTAACAATCTTTTCTGCGCCAAACTATTGCTATCGGTGTGGCAACCAAGCAGCCATTATGGAGCTTGATGACTCACTGAAGTATTCATTGTAAGTGAAAATTACCGTGTAAAATAGCTAAGTTTAGTAGGATATGTTTTATAGAAAAAATATTTTCAAAATCATATTGTAAGACCCTTTTCTATACATATGATATTCACCCCAAATTTCCCATTTGCAGCCTCCAGTTCGACCCTGCACCAAGGAGAGGAGAGCCCCATGTTACACGACGTACGCCAGACTATTTCCTGTAGAAATGCATGCTATCACTTATACTACTATCAAGAACACAGCTACTGTTGCCAAAGTGCTCAGTCCGTGTTGACCTTATCTCTCTTTCTCTCTCTCTCTCTCTCTCTCTCTCTCTCTCTCTCTCTCTCTCTCTCTCTCTCTCTCTCTCTCTCTCTCTCTCTCTCTCTCTCTCTCTCTCTCTCTCTCTCTCTCTCTCTCTCTCTCTCTCTCTCTCTCTCTCTCTCTCTCTCTCTCTCTCTCTCTCTCTCTCTCTCTCTCTCTCTCTCTCTCTCTCTCTCTCTCTCTCTCTCTCTCTCTCTCTCTCTCTCTCTCTCTCTCTCTCTCTCTCTCTCTCTCTCTCTCTCTCTCTCTCTCTCTCTCTCTCTCTCTCTCTCTCTCTCTCTCTCTCTCTCTCTCTCTCTCTCTCTCTCTCTCTCTCTCTCTCTCTCTCTCTCTCTCTCTCTCTCTCTCTCTCTCTCTCTCTCTCTCTCTCTCTCTCTCTCTCTCTCTCTCTCTCTCTCTCTCTCTCTCTCTCTCTCTCTCTCTCTCTCTCTCTCTCTCTCTCTCTCTCTCTCTCTCTCTCTCTCTCTCTCTCTCTCTCTCTCTCTCTCTCTCTCTCTCTCTCTCTCTCTCTCTCTCTCTCTCTCTCTCTCTCTCTCTCTCTCTCTCTCTCTCTCTCTCTCTCTCTCTCTCTCTCTCTCTCTCTCTCTCTCTCTCTCTCTCTCTCTCTCTCTCTCTCTCTCTCTCTCTCTCTCTCTCTCTCTCTCTCTCTCTCTCTCTCTCTCTCTCTCTCTCTCTCTCTCTCTCTCTCTCTCTCTCTCTCTCTCTCTCTCTCTCTCTCTCTCTCTCTCTCTCTCTCTCTCTCTCTCTCTCTCTCTCTCTCTCTCTCTCTCTCTCTCTCTCTCTCTCTCTCTCTCTCTCTCTCTCTCTCTCTCTCTCTCTCTCTCTCTCTCTCTCTCTCTCTCTCTCTCTCTCTCTCTCTCTCTCTCTCTCTCTCTCTCTCTCTCTCTCTCTCTCTCTCTCTCTCTCTCTCTCTCTCTCTCTCTCTCTCTCTCTCTCTCTCTCTCTCTCTCTCTCTCTCTCTCTCTCTCTCTCTCTCTCTCTCTCTCTCTCTCTCTCTCTCTCTCTCTCTCTCTCTCTCTCTCTCTCTCTCTCTCTCTCTCTCTCTCTCTCTCTCTCTCTCTCTCTCTCTCTCTCTCTCTCTCTCTCTCTCTCTCTCTCTCTCTCTCTCTCTCTCTCTCTCTCTCTCTCTCTCTCTCTCTCTCTCTCTCTCTCTCTCTCTCTCTCTCTCTCTCTCTCTCTCTCTCTCTCTCTCTCTCTCTCTCTCTCTCTCTCTCTCTCTCTCTCTCTCTCTCTCTCTCTCTCTCTCTCTCTCTCTCTCTCTCTCTCTCTCTCTCTCTCTCTCTCTCTCTCTCTCTCTCTCTCTCTCTCTCTCTCTCTCTCTCTCTCTCTCTCTCTCTCTCTCTCTCTCTCTCTCTCTCTCTCTCTCTCTCTCTCTCTCTCTCTCTCTCTCTCTCTCTCTCTCTCTCTCTCTCTCTCTCTCTCTCTCTCTCTCTCTCTCTCTCTCTCTCTCTCTCTCTCTCTCTCTCTCTCTCTCTCTCTCTCTCTCTCTCTCTCTCTCTCTCTCTCTCTCTCTCTCTCTCTCTCTCTCTCTCTCTCTCTCTCTCTCTCTCTCTCTCTCTCTCTCTCTCTCTCTCTCTCTCTCTCTCTCTCTCTCTCTCTCTCTCTCTCTCTCTCTCTCTCTCTCTCTCTCTCTCTCTCTCTCTCTCTCTCTCTCTCTCTCTCTCTCTCTCTCTCTCTCTCTCTCTCTCTCTCTCTCTCTCTCTCTCTCTCTCTCTCTCTCTCTCTCTCTCTCTCTCTCTCTCTCTCTCTCTCTCTCTCTCTCTCTCTCTCTCTCTCTCTCTCTCTCTCTCTCTCTCTCTCTCTCTCTCTCTCTCTCTCTCTCTCTCTCTCTCTCTCTCTCTCTCTCTCTCTCTCTCTCTCTCTCTCTCTCTCTCTCTCTCTCTCTCTCTCTCTCTCTCTCTCTCTCTCTCTCTCTCTCTCTCTCTCTCTCTCTCTCTCTCTCTCTCTCTCTCTCTCTCTCTCTCTCTCTCTCTCTCTCTCTCTCTCTCTCTCTCTCTCTCTCTCTCTCTCTCTCTCTCTCTCTCTCTCTCTCTCTCTCTCTCTCTCTCTCTCTCTCTCTCTCTCTCTCTCTCTCTCTCTCTCTCTCTCTCTCTCTCTCTCTCTCTCTCTCTCTCTCTCTCTCTCTCTCTCTCTCTCTCTCTCTCTCTCTCTCTCTCTCTCTCTCTCTCTCTCTCTCTCTCTATATTTTCAAAATCATATTGTAAGACCCTTTTCTATACATATGATATTCACCCCAAATTTCCCATTTGCAGCCTCCAGTTCGACCCTGCACCAAGGAGAGGAGAGCCCCATGTTACACGACGTACGCCAGACTATTTCCTGTAGAAATGCATGCTATCACTTATACTACTATCAAGAACACAGCTACTGTTGCCAAAGTGCTCAGTCCGTGTTGACATTATTATTAGTAGTATATATATATATTAGATATTTTTCATTTTTATTATTATTACATTTCTTAATTAGGATTATTTATTATGTTTATTTTTACTTTCATTATATGAAAATGTTCATATGGTTGATCACCATTTTCTGGAAATATTCCAAGTGACCATAAACACTTCTGATTTTATTGTAGCAGTGATGTCAGAACATTTTTCAGAGTTGAAGAAATAGTCATGATTATTTGTGTAGTCAAGCTGGTCAGGAACTTTAAGGTGATTACTTTTTTATTAAATGAAACTGCAGGCTCAGTTGCTACTATATAAACTTTCTTGTCAAGTGCAGGTGACTGTACAGTGTCAGTTTCAAGGTCTGTCCACTTGAGATGACAAAGGACTGGCTGCTGTAATCTATTGCTAATGCTAGTACAAGGTGAGGCAGTGGTTGTCATTCATTTCCAGTACTTTACAGAATTTCATTTTGAAGTCCAATAGAATAAAGCAGATTAGTCACTCAACTCACATGGAAGTAGCTTTTATATTTGATAAACCACTTTCAGTTTCTTCAGTATACTTATTGTTATCATTGTCATTGTGATTCCAATTAATAATTCTATGAATATTATTTTTCATTATTATTATCCTGCAGTCTTTATTATTTCAATGGTATTGTTTATATATGCTTTGTTATTTTGAAATTTGGTCACATGCACAGTTTTAGGTCAATACATGAGACATCATAGACTGCTATATATATACATATATATGTATGTGCAGTGATACTAAAGTGGAACAAGCTGTGAAAATCAGTGCATTAAAGGGAATGATGAAAAATTGCCTATCTCCTCACACACACACAAACCTTATGTTGCTACCAATTTGCAATTGAACTATTACTCACCATTTCAGCAATTGAAGGTCAGCATTTTGCGACCAGGTTTTCCAGCCTATGCCTCCACTAAGCTTATGCATTTCTAGGTTGTTCTTGCCATTTTAGTACTGCCAACTTTTTTTATAAAGAATTATTTATCCTTAAAATGTATACATAGTCTTCAGCTCTGTATATGTCAGTGGAGACATTGGTTTTGGATTACCTTATTTATTATTGTAAGTGCAGACCAAGTGAGTACCCAAGGCCTAAGTAAGGTGTGTAACAGTACATCAAGGTTACATTTTTAAGTTTTGAGCAGATCTTGTTACATGTATAAAATAATGATAGGCTTCAGCAGTTTACCCTTCATATCAGATAACTGCATAAATGATTCATGTATGTCTTTTTTTTTTCAAACATTTCAGGAGTTTAGTAAGAGTAATTTAGTATTAACCTCTTCTCTTTAGGACCAGAGAATCATATTTCTGTTTATTTCATGTAGAGTGTGAGAGGTTAGGTAAATGAGCACAACTGTCAAGATATGAGTATCATTGAGGTACCTAGTACAATGCCATTTATTGAGGGCAAGTGCTTCATCACTTACATAATCTTATCTTCCTTTCCATATTCTTTAAAATGAGGTAGGTTGCTTAAAAATATTGTATGAAAGAATCATAGTTGCAGCCAGAACATTTGGAGGGTTACTGTATTTCATTCATAAACATTGATTCTTTGATACTTATCCTTCATATTTCTTTTCACTTGTCTGTGTTGAATACATTACTCGTGGAATCCCCATTTTCTGTGGTTTTATTCCAATTGCTGCTCATCCTGTGTTAGTCACATTTACCATTATAACCTGTCGTTGAGAGACACTTCTCTCAGTATCATATTGAGCAAGTGAATGTAACTTGTATAAACAGCATGGTTAAATGTGAACAGTTGTAACAAAATACTTAGTTCTACATCAATAAAGTCAAAGAGACGAAAAGGTCTTGTCTGAATTCCTTGTTATCTAATCTCCTGGAAAATGTGAACATATTCAATCAGTGACACCTAAATTTATGTCGAAGATCATACTTGAATTGATTTTTGTGGTTCTATTTTTTGTGTAATATCTATAGTTTTTTTGTTTTTTTTTTCGAAAAGAAGTATGCAAATTTCATGGTTTAATATATATATTTTAACTACATTCAAAATTGATACGTACTAAATCTTTAGCATAGCAAATACATAAACACATTTGTTGTACTTTAATCACTTTTCTCTATTTTTAGATCACTCATATAATTTTTTGTTAGTGCTGTTACAATGTAAATTGCATTGCTAATAATTCTCTGGATTATAGTTTGTTACTTTTGTTTACCTTTCTTCCACAAGTCATAAGGGGAAGTGATCCTCGATTTAAGGGGATTACTCAGCCTGGAGCTTGCTAAGAGATTTGAATAAGCTTTTTTTTTTAAAATAAGTAGAAAGGACTATAACTGACCATCCTCTTTTCTTTCTAATGAAATGAAAATATTTCAAAACCCATACTGTTATACTGAAGTACTAGTATAAAAGCCTGATATAAGCTTTGGAAACCACTTGGAATTGGTGTAAGGTATGAAAACAATGTGGTATGTAGTTATCCATTATCCTGTAATGTCAATTTTGCATTATAACTTATTCAGACTGGTTCTATCCAAATTTGTTATAGTAATCATTCAAGGGTTTATA